CCTGCCAAACCACGTGAAAACATTTCTGATAGGACAAGGTGGCTACATTGTGAAAAAATATTTTTAAAGTCAAATGTGAGCAACATATAATCTTCCATGTTTGATTAAACCTCATACAAGCATTATGCTGACTAGGGGCTGATCTGAAGTGAAGTTCAGCAACATCTTAGGACCACACTGTCATGATTCCGATAGATGAAACCCATCAAAAGAATTTCAAGGCAAAATTCTTCCTTAAAGAATATTTTATTCGGGAAACAAAGTATCAGCACTACATAGTTGAACCCAAAAACTAAATTCCCTTCCCCCAGATACAAGATAACAAAGTGCAATTCCCACCCCCAATAAGCTGTCGTAAATCACATTCTCCAATTAGCCTAAAACACGGGCTTTCTCCCCAGCTCCTCAGCCCACCAAAACGTTATCAGCTTGTCTTTGAGTTCCCACAAAGCAGAGTTATTATTATGGCTAGCTGAGCTCCATCCCAACCCCCCTTACTGCACCTAATTTCTAAATACCAGAAAAAACACATTAAATGAAAAGAGAAAATGGCTGCATTTTCATCAGTTGTCAGAGCGGGAACATCCAATGTTAGCAGCGTTGACACACACATTTCATCCCTTTTAATGTAAGTTCCAAATTGGAATTCAGGAAAATAGCTGTACAAGTAGGCTTCCGGTCTGGGGATAATAGCTTCAGTTTCTAAAATTAATCAGATATTTAATATAATTGTATTTTTCCAAAATATAACTTCAATTATTCCTAAAATAACTATTTTAATACTTCTGATAAACCAAAACTAATAAATACTCAAGATGAATTAAGGTATATAAGTTCTATGCTAGGATTTCCTGCTAAATAGTTTAACAGTCATTGGTAAATGAATATTCTATCTACTGTAGAGTATATATATATATAGGGGATATATACAGCATATCACTAATCTAAAAGGTCACTAAGTAATATGGCTAACAACTAGCAAACAAAATATATTCAATATCCTTCTAGTTATACAATTTAACTACAGAAAGAAAAATATAATAGACATATTATGAACTATATATAAACCTTTTGT